AGACAAGGAAGTGCCTTAGTGAAGATATCAGCAATTTGATCATGGGAATTGATGTGGTGTATAGTAATTGTAGCTGATTTTTTGCAATCACGGATGAAATGATAATCCACCTCTATATGCTCAGTGCGAGCATGGAATACAGGATTGTGAGCAAGGGTGATAGCGGATACGTTATCACAATAGAGAGATATAAGTGTGGAAATGGTAAATTGAAAATCCGCCAAGAGTCGATGAATCTAAATGATGTCAGTGGCAGCGGTTGCTAAAGCATGGTATTTAGCTTCTGTGGAGGATTTAACAACTGTGGGTTGCTTCTTGATGAACCAAGAAAGAAGTGTATCACTGATGAATAAACAATAACCTATTGTGGATTTTCTAACGGGTCACCAACCCAATCTGAATTAGCATAAGCATGTAAAATGGAAGATTGGTCGTTGATTGGCAAACCACAATCGGCGGTGCCTTTAATGTACCGAAGTAGGTGTTTAAGAGCATGAAAATGTTGTTGCAAGGGACAATGCATAAATTGGCACAATTTGTTGACAGCATAAGCAATATCCGGTCGTGTCATCGTTAGATACTGTAAAGATCCAACTAGATGCCAGAAAAATTCTAGGTTTTCAAAGACAGTTAAAGAAGAGGCATCCGAACCCAGTTTTAAAGGAAGTGGAGTAAGCACCGGATTGCAATTGTCCATGCCGGCTCTATGTAGTATATTGAATGCATACTTTGATTGATGAAGATGATATCCCGTAATGGTGGAAACAGCTTGTATACCAAGAAAGTAGTTGAGAGTGCCCAAGTTGCGAAGCTGAAACTGTTGTTGGAGGTGGAGAAGTAGATCTGCAATGATTTTGTGATTGTTGCCGGTGACTAAAATGTCATAAACATATATTAAAAAATATATGAGATGAGAATTATGGTTATAAATGAGGAGAGATGTATCTGCATCACTATGCCGAATAGCGAACCATTGATGCGGAGACTGTTTAAGACCATAGATTGCTTTATGCAAGCGACAAACATAGTCTGGATGTTGAGGGTCTTTAAAACCCGGGGGTTGATGCATATACACCACTTCATCTAAATCACCATGAAGAAAAGCATTTGAGACATCTAATTGAAGGATAGACCAATGTCTAATAACCACGGCGGTGATAGAAAGACGAATTGTTGGTAGCTTTGCAACTAGACTAAAGGTTTAAGTATAATCAATACCATATTCTTGGCGATAGCCTTGGGCAACAAGGCGAGCTTTATAACGAGCTATCGAGCCATCCGACTTTCTTTTGGTTTTGTAAATCTATTTACAACCAAGCACTGTTTTAGTAACAGGTGGTGTAACCAAGTCCCATGTCCCTTGTTGTTGTAGAGCCCGAAACTCAGCTAACATAGCATCTCGCCAACATTTATGTTTACTGGCCATGGTAAAACTTGTTGGATCGGGTTCTTCAACTAGCATATGTTGAAGGTTAAAGACAGTTTTTGGCTTGAGCTTACCAGTTTGCAATCTAGGCACCATTGGGTGTCGGGTAGGAATCTGTGAGTGAGGTGGAGAAGATGAAATTGGGATATCTGAAGTGTGCGGGGAAGTGGATATCTCAGGTAAGTTTTCTGGAATGGTGGGAAGTATTGGTGGAGAAGTAGTGGGCTGTGTAGTTGTTTTATGTGGAACTAGAGTTAAGGGAGATATAATAGAGTTGGGAGTTGAGGTTGTAGGGGAAGATGGGGAGGAGATAGAAGAGATAAATAGAAAGATATGTTCATGAAATTGTACATGCTGAGAGATCAGGATTTTATTATTTTTCAAGTGGTAGCAACGAAAACCTTTGTGGGTAGAACTATATCCAATGAAGACACAAGCTGAAGATTTTGGAGCAAATTTATGAGGAGTCGTGGGTTGAAGCCATGGGTAACACAAGCAACCAAATACTTTGAGGTGAGAATAAGATGGGGGATGCTTATAAAGACATTGGAAGGGAGAAATGGAATTTGTAGTAAGAGATGGGAGATGATTTAATAAATATACTGCAGTTAATTCATATTCAACCCAAAAAATTGTTTGTAAATGAGCTTGTATTAACAGAGTATGTGCTGTCTCAATGATATGACGATGTTTGCGCTCCGCAAGACCATTTTGTTGCGGAGTATGAGGATAGCTAATTTGGTGCAAAATACCACTTGTGGAGAGAAAATGTTGAAATTGAGAGCTAGTATATTCGCCACCACCGTTAGATAAAAAAATTTAATATTAGTGGAGAATTGTTTTTCAACCATGGATTTGAATAAGACAAACTTAGAGAATACTTCAGCTTTAGTAACCATTGGATAAATCCATGAAAAATGAGAAAACTCATCCAAAAATAGAAATAATAGCGATATCCATTAATTGATAAAATTGGGGAAGGCCCCCATACATCAGAGACGACGACTTGAAAAGGAGAAGTACATATAGAAGTAGAACTAAGGAAAGGTAACTTATGACTTTTTTGCTGTTTGACATGGATGCACACAGTGCTAGATTCAGAGATTTTTAACGATGGAAAACTAGAAGCTATACTAGATAAGACGGCTTGATGTGGATGTCCCAGTCTGGCATGCCACGTAGACGTGCTGATAGTGGTGAGGAGAGCTTGTGAAGACGATCCGGAGGGAATGACAATGGAATAAAGTCCATCACGGCAAGAACCCGAGAGAATCGAGCATTTGATTTTCCTATCCTTTATATTATAGCCATTAGGTGTGAAGGAAACAGTACAATCATTATCAGAAGTTAGACGGTGAACTGAAAGTAAATTATGAGAAACTTGAGGAACGTGAAGAAGGGGTGACAGAGAGAGCTTACGTTTAGGTGTAGGAAGGATTCATTGACCTGTATGAGATATAGGAAGTGATTGTCCATTGCCAACTTGTATTTGCTGGAGGCCATGATATGGTTAGGATGTTAGGAGTTGATTTGGATCATTGGTAATTTGAGACGTGGCATCGGTATCCAATATCTAATCGGAAGATTGCCCAGCAGATGCAGATGTAGAGTTTTCTGTTGATTCAGCAACGAAGGCAGCGGGATTTTGCTTAACGTAATTAAGGTTAGTGCGATGCCAACACTTTTCTGCAGAATGGCTAAGTTTACCACATATTTGACATTCAATGTGTGGGTAATTTGTTCGTCCACCACGAGAATTGCTGAACCGTCCACAACCACGCTGAGAGCAGAAAGGTGGTCTGGAGGAGCCACGAGCTGGTGTCACAGCGAGTGCAACAAGAGTTTCAGAAATTTGAACAGAATGAAGTGATCGAGCAACTTCATTTTTAGGATTCGTCTCTTCCCTAACAATAGGGAGTAAAAATCATCTAGATTCAATGGCTGAAGGTTTGTACGAATAGCTGTTTTAAAACCTTGATACGATGTAGGTAAGCCGTTTAGTGTGTACATAATGATATCCTCGGAGTCTAGAATACAGCCGGCGGTGGTGAGGGTATCTACCTTTTGTTTGATTTCAGTTAAATACTGCTGCATTGTCTTGTTTTCCATTGAAATGTAGTGCAGATCATTTTTAATCTGAAGAATACGGGATCGGTTCGAAGATTGCAAATGTTTTCCGATTGTTTGCCAAATGTCGGAGCAGGATTCCAAACTCAGAACGTAAGGCAGCAGGGGTGCCGAGATTGTAGAGAACAATGCGGCAGCTAAGTTTTGGTCAATTAGCATCCAGGTAGAAAATAGAGGGTTAGGTATCAAGGTACCAGTAGCCGAAGAAATTTGTTGGGGAGGACAATGAGCGGTTCCATCTAGATACCCCTCGAAGCTATTTGCTCGAAAAACCTTTAGGATTTGCGGCCTCCTGGTGAGGTAATTTTTGGGAGTGAGCTGAACTGTGAGACGTTCTTAATTGTAGACATTAAGAACTTCAACTGGGGTGGGATGGTAACTGTTCCGATGATCTAAGAGGATTCGGTGGTACCAGTGGCCGATGATGAGGAGTTTCCAGATTCCATCTTACGGAAGATGTACCCCGGAGAAATGAGAGCCGTGAGGCTTATAGCTGCTCTGATACCATGAAAGCAAACCTGCAGAAAGGGTTAGCTGCAAACAGAAAGAAGATTCATGGAGGAAGAAGACTATCGGGTATCACTGCTTCATCTCATTCCTTTTTGCTACAGTACATCTATATATTGTAAGTAATAACAGAAAGCTATAATGAGAGTAAGTGTATACTGCTCCACGCTATAGTGGACCATGTGGGATTGCCTCTGCTATAGCTAGTGGGCACACCTTCTACTGTGATAGCTTGATGGTGTGATACCATGAAGAAACTTTATAGTACAAAAATTTCAAATTAAAAAAATTTATGTACTAAGAAACTGCTTCATAAAGCAGTAAGAACGAAATCTAAATTGGTCTCCCAACTAATAATTTGGGCTGAACGCAAAGATTCGTTTTGCCAATCAACTAATTACATGTGAATTATTTTCCTGATTAAGAGTTGTATTTTTTTATTTTGAGTCTTTTCATGAGCTTAAGCCTAATAGTTAATTATCCTTTTTAATTATAGGAGAAATTTCTTGATTGATGATATCTCTGGAGACTTCATATATCTTATCTTGCAGATTGCTTGCTATTTTATATTTCAAGTTATTTATAAGTTTTTTTTTTTATTTTATTTTTTTAATTTTTTGTGCTTGTGCACAGTGCTCTCCTTGTGACCAACTATTGTTTTGTCTATTTTATTTAGTTGCGACTTTAATTTAGCTGCCTTGATGCGCTTTTCTACTAGATTAGGTTATTTTGGTGCCTGCGTACATTTTAGTTATATATGTGCAGTTTATCTTTAGCTTGTGCTTTCTAGCCTTTTGGGCTATGTCCTATTCTTATTCTGTGTTTAAATTAGCTAGCTTAAATATGATCTATCACCTCATAATAGCCTCTTATAATTTTTGTTTATTTCATCTCCATTCCACCCTTGGCATGCAGAATCTGATACTGTTTGATTTTCCAGTGTATAAATGGACATATTGCATGTTCGTATTGCTGTCCTAAACTCTCAAACAAATGTCACTTCTGCTGTGAACCTATCGGTGGCCACCGATGCTTTGCACTAGAGAAAATTCTAGAATCCATTACCAGCCCATGCCAGTATGGTAATTACGGATGCAGAGCTATTCTATCCTTTGCTGAGAAAGTATCCCATGAAGAAGCCTGTAGTCATGCTGCCCTCTTCTGCCCAATTAGTAATTGCACCTTCTCTGGCTCAAAGAGTCTTCTCTTTACTCATGCCAAACATATGCACGGCAACATTTCAAAGAACTTCTGCTATGATAAACCTTTCTTGGTTATTTTGGAGAAGCAGCAACCTTTAATGGTTCTGCTTGGGGAGGACAACCATTTCTTTCTCCTCTTAAACAATCATGAGATCTTCCCTGGGAATGTGCTCTCTGTTATCTGCATGGCTTCAGACAATGCCGAGTATGACTTCTCATGCGAGCTCAAGGTGAATAGCAGGGAAAGCTCGCTTAGGTTTAGGGCCTCAGCTGAGAAGGTCAAGAAGTGGAATGGAGTTCATCCTCGCAAGGCTTTCCTTGTGGTTCCAGACAGTTTTGGTACTACGGATGCTCGATTACGTGTAAATGTTTGCATCTATAAATCATTATCATCAGGTGTTCTCAAGTAGCACAGGCCTGTTTTGATTTCCGTTTCAGTTTCTACTTATTGGTAAAAGCATTTGCAATATATATATATATATATATTTATTTGTGTGTGATGTTTTGCTATTTTTATTGAATGTTAAGTTAAGTGTGCAAACATAAAGTGTATATATATATATCTATATTTGTTTGTGTGTGATGTTTTGCTATTTTTATTGAATGTTAAGTTAAGTGTGTAAACATAAAGTTCATTTGCTAATGTTATAAAATTTTTCATTATTTTACTAATCAAACACTACTATTTTATATGATATTTTTGTTGATTTTGATAAACTCATCGCAGACACTAGAACCCAGGGCCCAAGTGCCTGACTTAGCACCTAGAAACCTAAACATGATATTCATGTGCTAGATTTAGTGATTATGAATGTCCTAATCACCCCGTCCCTAATGCCTAAGCATCCAACTTGGCACTAAGCACTACAATAATGGTTTTGAAGTTATAAATTATTAGTTTTGGCCAGATTGTACTAATGGAACTTTTGTGACTTGATTAGGATGAATTTATTCTATTAGAAGTGTTTTATCATTGGATAAAAAGTTAGCTATTGATATATATATATATTGTAGACTCGGTGGCTCTGTCCTCTCAAAATTTTATTGTAGAACTCTTCTTCACTTATTACCTCACACCCTCAAAACAATTTTCCATCTATTTCCTCATAAAATCCACTCAAAAAGCCAAGAAGGGCTCTCATCCGAAGCTTGGTTCAATCCAACCTAGGTTGTTTATGTACCTCTTTTGACCTTCCAAACTCCTTGAAAAATTATTTAATATTTTCAAATTAATATAGACATAATTCTCTTAAATTTCCAAGAGTTTTTTAATTCATGGAGCTTCCACATATTGAAACCTGAAACCCTCAACTCTAAGTAGGAGAATTCAGCTATATCATACTTCTTTTGCATGACAAATGAAAACCTCATCTCAAACCTTTCCCAAAGCCTCTACATCAACCATAGCATACTTTAGAAACCTTAAAACCTCATACTTCTTCTCAGCTGTCTAATTATCGGCCACTGTAAAGTTGGTATTGGTGCCTAGGTGGGAAGAAGAGAATTGGATACTTCCGTAATTAGCATACTGGCATGGGCTCGTAATGGATTCGAGAATTATCTCAAGTGCAAAGCATCGGTGGCCAATTAGTAATTGCACCTTCTCTGGCTCAAAGAGTCTTCTCTTTACTCATGCCAAACATCTGCACGGCAACATTTCAAAGAACTTCTGCTATGATAAACCTTTCTTGGTTGTTTTGGAGAAGCAGCAACCTTTAATGGTTCTGCTTGGGGAGGACAACCATTTCTTTCTCCTCTTAAACAATCATGAGATCTTCCCTGGGAATGTTCTCTCTGTTATCTGCATGGCTTCAGACAATGCCGAGTATGACTTCTCAGAGTTTTTTTTTTTTTAATGAGGCTTGCGTCTTAACTTGGTTGAGGCCCGCCTCACCTTAGTGGCATGAGGCTTACTTCTCATGCTATATATATATATATTAAAACTTAGATAAATCTTGAAGTAAATGCCCGAAACTTTATGTTAACACTTTGAATCAGTTGATTTTTGATGGATTCAACCTTTAGTTAAAATTATTAATTAGTTATGATTAATTTTATAATGTCAGGTAGAGATGTTGCACATAAAATAGAAAATCTTTTATGCCCTCTTCACAACAACCAAATTAGACCATCATGATGGAAATTATGCATGCATCTATGTACAAAAAACTTATCAAGTTCGATGTATGAACATATTTAGATTCTACAATTTTTTTAAGATATGTTAAGTCTCTTTAACATGATGTGTCATATCCCTAAACCATGGACCCTCTTCATGTTTCAAAGTTCAAAATTGGCCTGACTAGAGCTCCGTGCAACAACAAAAAGATTTATTAAATCCTACTTAAGCACGTGAGGAGTAAATATTCATTGAGTCTACCCTCAAAAATGGGATGCCGCGTGGGCTTGAAGTAGATAGAGCAATCGAGAACATTGGAATCAATGCAAAATTTAAATTCTCTATTCATATTACCTATTCGGAAAACCCTGTCCTCCCCTGTGCCTTTATCTCCTCGAAATCCTGCACTGTCTTTGATTTGGTCAAATTCTACTTCTTCGTTATCTGACAATTCTGAAGTTTTCGCTTTGACCAGGCATGTCCCCTTCTTCAAATCATCTTCTTCCTCATTATATTGGCCTCATCAAATCTATAACACTGTCATATTTTCTCATCATATTAAGGATAAGCTGAGTTAGAACTATATACGTGCTTGAACAGAGCTTTACATTTTATTAACTCATAATGAACTTAAGCAATGACTTCAATGTGCAAGGGATAAGGTAATCAAATTTATAGAAAAAATCACATGCTAATGGGAGGACCATTAAATAACAAATTAATAAATAGCATGTTAACATGGTATTTCAGAGTCGATTTGTCACTACCAAGGCCCACTCACACAATGCTCTTGGTGTGGGATAAGCGGATAAGCTTTCACAGTAAAATGATGTCATGATTGAGGGATCAAAAAGGTACAAATGGGGGGATGGGGAGAGTTTACCCCGCATAGATGAAGATACTAAGCTATGTCGAAGATGTTTGGCTCTCTTTGTGGAAAGGACAGCAATATGAATCCCTTTCACATTTTTGTATTTTATTCTATCATCTTCTAGAAATCTAGATATTAGCGATATGGTGGCCAAACTTAGAAATAGCTAGTATTGGACTTGAAAAATTGGGTTGAATCTATATATCTGTAGCAGTCAGCTGTCTTTGAGATGATTCAGGAGGAAATTACAAGCACTTGATAGTAGGGAAGTAGCAGCAATCATTATTGGATGGCATTAGAAATAGGAGGATAGCAATTTGCTGAAATTTGGGTGTAGGATTTATATCCAGATGGTTTGTATAATTATGGTAAGGATCAATGATGGGGGAATAGGCCACTCAAATTATTGGGGCTGATTTGGGGCCTTAATTTGGTTGCCAATTAAAGCATATTTGCTAAGAAAAAAGGAATTAATTCAGATTTTCAATCAATACTCAGGTTTGGTCATGGGGATATCCTTCCAAATATAGCACAATAATTTAGGAAAGAAATTCAAGTCTTTAGGAGAATTAAAATTTAAATTCAGATTTCCAACATTAACACTAGGCTAATTTAGGAAGATGAATTAACTAGGATCTCCAATTAAATTTCAGATTGGTTGATTGAGATATCTTTCAAAACATAACCCAATAATTTAGGAAAAAAATTCAAGGCTTTTTTAAGATTTTGAATTTGAATTCAGATTTTTAAAATTAATGCTATGCTAATTTAGGAAGAGGAATTAACTAGGATCTACAATTAAATTTCAGATTAGTTGATTTGGATATCTTTCCTAACATAACTTAACAATTTAGGAAAGGAATTCAAGGCTTTTATGAGAATTTGAATTTGAATTTAGATTTCCAAAATTAACACAAGGCTAATTTATGAAGAGGAATTAACTATGATATCAAAAAATTTTAGATTGGTTGATTGAAATATCTTTCCAAACATAACCCAACAATTTAAGAAATAAATTCTAGGCTTTTATGAGATTTTGAATTTTAATTTAGATTTCTAAATTAACACTAGACTTATTTAGGAAGAGGAATTAACTAGGATCTCCTATTAAATTTTAGAATGGTTGATTGGGATATCTTTCCAAACATAACCCAACAATTTAGGAAAAGAATTCAAGGCTTTTAGGAGAATTTAAATTTGAATTCAGATTTCCAAAATTAACACTAGGATAACTTAGGAGAGGAATCAACTAGTATCTCTAATTAAATTTCAGATTGGTTGATTAAGATATCTTTTTAAACATAACAAAATAATTTAGGAATGGAATTCAAAGCTTTTATGAGATTTTAAATTTGAATTCAAATTTTCAAAATTAATGCTAAACTAATTTTGGAAGAGGAATTAACTTTGATCTTCAATTAAATTTCAGATTGGTTGATTGTGATATCTTTCTAAACATAACCCAATAATTTAGAAAAAGGCTTCAAGGCTTTTAGTAGAATTCAAATTTAAATTCAGATTTCCAAAATTAATGCTAGGCAAATTTAGAAAGAGAATTTAATTAGGACCTCCAATTAAATTTTATATTGATTGATTAGGATATCTTTCCAAATATAACCAAACAATTTAGGAAAGGATTTTAAGGTTTTTATGAGAATTTGAATTTGAATCCAGATTTCCAAAATTAATGCTAGGTTAATTTAGGAAGAGGAATTAACTAGGATCTTAAATTAATTTCAGATTTGTTGATTGGGACATCTTTCTAAACGTACCCTATTGCAAATCAAGAATCAAGATTGAGATTGTGATTTTTGATAATAACAAAATACTTTTGTTATGATTTTATTATTTCTCCTAGTATATATTAGATATTTATGTTTGTTTCTATATGTACTAATATTTTAGAAAAATTATATACTACTCCAGATTGTTGAAGACTTCAAGAGATGGTAGATTAGAATTTCATGTAATAGAGCCTGTATATCTCTATTTTTATTTTTTAAGTCTGAGCAAGTGTGATTGTAATTTGATAATCATGCACACAAATATAAGGGGAGTATGATATTTTTTAAACTGATTGTACTATATGATATTTAATCGTATTGTATGATTGACTGGTATTTTCCTCTCAAATGCAGTTAATCAAATCATGACTTGAATTTTTGAACTTTTCATATTGTACGATATCAAGTCATACGGATGACTAACAAAGTATGAAATTAGGTTTGTACTAGATCCTATTGAATGAACACATTCATTTTTTGAACTGTTTATATAATACGATGTGAATTCATACATACAACTAATAGAGCATGAAATTTGGTTCATACCAGATCGTATCGAATAAACACTTTCATTTTTGAAATATTAGTGTAGTACGATGTGAATTCATACAAACGGATGACAAAGTACAAAATTACTTTGTATCAGATTATATCGAATGAATACATTCATTGTTGAACTGTTCATATAGTACGATGCAAATTCGTACATATGACCGATAGTGTACAAAATTGAGTTCGTCCAAGTTTGTACTGAATGAGCCCTCATTTTTTGAACTGTTCTTATCGGATGATTAACAATCATATAGTACGATTGTAGGATGACTCTGTTGAAGAATTCAATTTTTTGATAGTTTTTCATATATTTTCTATATAAAGAGTCTTAAAAATTGTCTTATAATCCTTTACTTTGAATTTCTCTTGAGTGAGACCATTGAGAGTGTATTTGGGAGAAATTTTGTAAGTGAAGAGAGAGATCTAGTGATGGGGAGTTGTGAGAGATTCACAAGGTTGCCCAAAGTGAGGATATCTTTATCTTCTTCAAATTTCTACCCAACTTCTTTTGAGGCTCTTGAGAGAAGATCTTAAAGATTGGATCAAGGTTATCTGCCTTCACTTAGAGGGTGAAAAAGAATGTGAAGGTACACTGTCATCACTTGGATCGTGTAAAATGTGACGGTTCTCTACCTTCACCATGAAGGTGAAAAAGGATGCGAAGGATGCTTCCATCACTTTTTTTTTTTTGAAATTGCAATTTGCATGAAAGAGTTATAACCAACTAAAGATAATAATCACATTCCTTCTTCAACAAATAAAATAGAGAAGAAGGAATTCCATTCTTAGAAAAACAATAAAAATAAAGCTACTGTCTAAGGCTAAAGTTGCGCAACAATCTGCTACTTTATTACAATTCCTAGAAATCAAATGAAATATAACCTTATTGAAATCATTAAGAAAAATAATGTCTTTATTCCAATCTTCCAATTGCTGCCATTTCATCTTGTTCAAAGAATCTTGAAGCCATTTGATCACATTGATATTGTATCTTTCAATAATAATTCCCTTGTATTGGAGCATACACCATTGCAAATGTTCTTTAATTAAATAAACCTCATGTAGTTCAAGAGATGCAATATCCCAATGCTTTACCTGCTTACCAAAAGCACCAAGGAATCGCCCCTTATGATCTCTAATAATAACTCCAATACCTGCATTATATGAATCTTTTAAAGTAGCATCCACATTGATCCTTATCCAATCTAGG